AGGGAGAACCATTGGAGTCGGTGTTGCTTGTGCAGGTACGTTTGCAGTCCTCACCAGTCGCCTCTTCGGTGGCCATCCACTACTGGTGAGAGGGATGGCCCCCTGTACATGAACAGCCCTTAGAAACAGGGTTTGACACACACATGTGGCCGCTTCGCAGCGCTCCCTCCGCCCGCTACCCAGCAAGCCTTTGAAAAAGAACGGAAAAAGAACAGAAAAAGCAAAAGGAACAGGGCAAGAAAGAAAATAGGTGTATAGGGCCATGCATGTCTGCCGAACGAACGGCGAATTATTGAGTTAAAGCCTGAATAGCCACCTAACAAGCCTTAGAAAAGGAAAGAAAGAAAGACAGAAAGAGCAAGAGGAAAAGGGGAAGAAAGAAAGATAGGTGTAAGGCCATGCATGTCTGCCGAACGAACGGTAAATTTCGGAGTCAAAGCCTGAATAGGCACCTAACAAGCCTTAGAAAGGAAAGATTTTTTCAGAAAGAGAAAACGAAGAGGGCAAGAGAGAAAGGTAGGTGTAGTTAAAAAAGAAAACTGGTTACTGAATACTTAGCGGTCGTGAAATACGTGCAATAGTTAGGGAGCGGGACTTTAGTCTTAAACCGCCTGTGTAGAGTAGACTAGAAAAGGGACAACAAAAGGCAAGGTACCGACACACAAGTGTGTCGAGTACCATTTCCTTCTGTTACCCTGATTAGAAGTCGCTAGTTACTGAATACTTAGCAGTCTTTAACTACGTGCAATAGTTAGGGAGCGGGACTTTAGTCTTAGACCGCCCGGCTAGAGTAGACGAGAACAGGGACAACAGAAGGAAAGGCACCGACACACAAGTGTGTCGAGTACCATTTCCTTCTCTTACCCTAATTAGAACTAGAAGTAAAGCGAAAACGAGGGGCAGGGAAACGAGCCTCAAGGACAACCTAACAAGCCTGAAGAAACGCCTAACAAACGAAGAGACCGCAAGAAGGAAAGGGGGGAGGGACTGGGGGGTGGGGGTTCATTCTCCGTAAGCCCGGCGGCATTTATTCCGTGAGCCCGGCAGCCTGTGGTTCAGTTGATTCATGGGTGAAACAAGTCAATTTAATTTTTTTAGAATTTGAGAACTCAAAAACGCAAAGTCAATTTGTGATACACGGTGGTTTCGGCGCCCCTTGCGGGGATCACACTGCGCACCCAAGTGGGAAAGCACAGCGATACACACTTAGTCACAGGCTCATCCAGTATCATAGTCCACAGTGAAGGGGACGAGGGAACGGCACAGTGAAGGAGTCAGCGCACTTGGAATGTTTAACAATTGTTTAACAAGCGGCTCAGCAGCAACTCTGCGGGGGAGGTTTAGGGGAATAGCATGAAAACCACCATGAAAACAACAAAAGCGCGGAGGGAGAACCATTGGAGTCGGTGTTGCTTGTGCAGGTACGTTTGCAGCCCTCACCAGTCGCCTCTTCGGTGGCCATCCACCACTGGTGAAAGGGATGGCCCCCTGTACATGAACAGCCCTTAGAAACAGGGTTTGACACACACACACACATACACACACGCACACACACTCTAGAGATTGCGTGGGGCACTCATGCGCGACAGTCTTGTTGGACAAGGTCATTCCTCTAGGCCGCTCTTGTCGGACACTCTGGTAGGACATTCTTGGTGGGAGGCTCTTAGTTGGAGATAGTAGGAGGCTGTTGTCAGAAGCTCTTGTCGCACACTCTTGTAGGACACTTTTGTGGCTCACTCCTGTAGGACATTTTTGTAAGGCACTCTTGTGGGACACCCGGCCCACCCTTTTGCGCGGCATTTTTGGAGGGCACTGTTTCCAAAACGAGCTTTTCATACCAGACATGCTCCCAAAGTGCGGATTTTCACCAAAAGTGAGCATTTCGTACTAGACATCCTGCAAAAGTGATGTGTCAAGTCTCCCAAAACACGCATTTTAAAGCGAGGTGCTTGAAAGAACAGCCGCTGACGGACCAAACGTTGCGACCTCACGATTCCCTGCACCTGGCAAGCAAACTGCATCCCAGCACCTCCAACACGCACAAAGTTCACACCACCCTTTCGGAATGGTTTCAGCACGCTTCATTCAACACCTTCAAAAGACCACCTTGCGAACGCCAATCCTAATGGCCCTATCGCCAGACCCAGAGTTGAACGAGAGTGAGTCAGAACATGGGAACTTCCTCAGATTTGGGGTTGGGCGAAGGATTCCGGTCATGTGCCTTTGGTCTTCTAAGCTGTCCCTTATTGATGCTTGGAAGTTAATACCGCGAATTGAAACGCTGCGGGTCAGGTATAAAGCATCTGCTGCTTGCGAGACACAAGAAGAAATTAGGGTTGCAGCAAGAGGATTGAACATCGAAGTTGACACTGACATGGTATGGCCATTGAAAAGGGGTACTAAGCGACATGTTTTCGACAGAAAACAATCCCAGACCCCAAAAGCTTCAAACCTATAGTATGCGTCCTTTTCCACCGCTTGTCAAATTGAGAGCAGCGCCAACTCCTGCCGCACTGCTTTCTTTGTGGTGCTAGGCTTGGGCGGCACAGGGAGATGCCTCATGGGGGTTGGGCGACTTCCATTGCTGCAGCTTCTCTGTGCTGTCGTCTCCTAAGTTTGGCGGCAGCTGAAGGGGAATTAGAGACCGTGTGAGCATCACTCAGGACCGCACGTTTTTGACTATACATTCCTTTGTGGTGTGCTGGTTTCACGTGTGTTTTCTGCACAAATATGAGGGTTTCATGCACATGCGCCCGGGGGCTGCAATAAATCACCTTGTTTCATACATCCAGTCACAACATAGTCATAGTCATCGCCATGTCTGACATGACGTTGCACATTATGTTGCTTTGTCAGCGACATTGCTTTCATTACCAAGGATTGGGGCGGGAATGGGATGCGGGCCGTATTGACGTTTGTTGTGACTGCAACGAACATGAGTGCTCGCTTGTTGTCATGTGGATAGTTTTAAAGGTTGCTTCACACAACAAGTAGGACACAACATGAAGATTTCAGCATCAGCTGACATGCAAATCGGACACGTTTAGCTCTCAGAGCATTCCTGCACATTTTTTTCTAAAGCCACTATCAAAGTTATCATGTCGTATACAACCAACATTTTCCAGTTAGTGGGGAACGTTCAACATGGCCATGAAAAGACCTGATGCCTAGCTTTTGGTGTTTTGGTTGGACTTCAGGGGAATTGAGTGGTCATCGGAGAATGGGCGTGTTAACCGGCCAAAAAACGGTCCGCCAGTGGCCTGCATGATTCAGACAACTTCTTCTGACCGCTTAGGAGTTGCTGCTTTCTTTGGCGCTGGCATTCGGTGCCTTGAAGCAAGTGCAAGGTTCTTGTTTCTTGTCAGCTTCGTCTCAAGCATGAAAATAACATGCTGAATGATTCGCTGCTCAACTGTTCAACAATGTTTATACCATCAGAAGGAATGCCGGTGTTTGTGTATCATATAGATTGGCTGTACCAGATTTGATTGCGTGTTCAGGTGTTGAGTTGGAATCTCAGATCCAGGTGAGCACTGAAAGGATTCAAGACTCTGATTCTCCTTGAACAAGGCAACAGTATGATTGTTGCTTTTTTTTCCCACTTTTTGTCTTGTCTGAGAGAAATAGCTAGCTTTGCCACCTATCACCTATGACCATTGCTTGTTTTCTTTTCCTTTGAGAGCTGTAAAATTTCAAACGCGGCCCTATGGCAGCTCCTTCTTTTCTTTGTGTAGTGTGTTTTTGCCAGACCTTTGATCGGCTATGCCAAGGCCCTTAGACACGTTTCGACGGGTCTCAGCGACCTTGGAGGCACAACTTCCAGCTTGAGGGTGAAAGTCAGTGAACGATTTGCTTTCCTTTCTCACTATCTTACAAGATCTTACAAGTTGGCGATTCAATTTTCTGAGGTAGACAACAACTCAAGCTCTGAGTGACGACCTCAACTCTACTTGCATTGAACCACAAGTCTGAGGAAAGATGAAACCTGAGACCGAGAATTTCTGAGGCTAAGCACGACAGATCTAACCCGCACCACGACTCTCAGACTGAGCACATCAGCTTGGCCCTCATTGAAGTCATCAATTGTGGCACGAAGTTAGAGTCAAATCCCTTCAGAAAGCTTTGAGCTCCTAGGTCGCTGATGACCTTGTGCTGCTTGATGCACATTAAGCCCCAGATTCCCACTCTGGTTTGACGCTTCTGAAATGTTATTTTGCAGCGGAGCGCTTGCTTGAGCTTTGGCCAGCTGTTTCTTTTTTGTTGAAAGACAAGCGCATAGAAGGGCCAGCGGCATTTGAGGAATACTACTGCAACAGTTGTGTGCCACTCAGATACCATTAAACCAGAACCTTGGAATAGCAGATCTCAATCGTATGTTGTATTTGCTAGCTTGGCTGTTTTGCATCAGCCAAAGAGTTGCCTCAGACCACGACCGTGACCACAGAATTTTTTTGCCCTTTACCACTTGCCCAGTCCCTAGCTGATGAGAACCATGTCGGCAAGACAACATTGAGCTTGTCACTGCCACTGCAAGTATGCAGCAGTACGCATTAGTCGTACAATGCAGTGTCAGGCCCTGGACAGCAGCGAACTTACAACGTACACTGGATGCATCAAAAGCAACTGCGAGGAGCGCGGAGTTGGGTGGATTTCTTGCACTGTGAAGATTGTATGACCAGCTTTGCTGGAAGTGTTGTTGCCGACTACAAGGAGATGGCAAGCGTTGTGATGGAACAAGCCTCAGACGGCACTTGCCTTAAACAGGAATTGGGCATGGCAGTCTATTATTCAGATCCAAACCATTCCACCACAGCATGCTAGCTTGAATCATGCTGCCAGGCCAAATCGCAAATTGCTTTCTTCTCCTCGAAGCAGCAGGAAGCTGTGCCGCAGATGCCTCTGCACAGGCCCCGAGTCATTTTAAAGTTGCTTTTACGTCCGGTTCTGGCCAATCTCAAATTTGGATCACTAAAATTAGAAACCTAAAATCACCTGAAATCATGTATTTCTATGATCAAATTCACGAGAATCAATCAATGTATGGTACATTACCGTCTGCCAATCACCAGGGAATCACCGCTTCAGGTCACCGCCTTGAGCAGTCTTGGCTTAAGTTTTGAAGTCGGAGACCTTTGCGGAGCGGACTTTGGTGGAGTTTGAAGCGAATTCTATTTTCTTTATTTAAATGCAGGTCTTTCAATGGCCTTTGTATTTGATTCTATAAGGATCAAATGTTGTGGATGAAGACTGACCACCACACTAAACAATAATTACGCTAAATACCACAAACATGTATTTGTTTGACTTGCAGATCTGCTGTTTACCAGGACCTTTGTGCCCTTCTTATTGTCATACTGATGAAGCAACTGAGACGACTAGCTGGCAAAGGTGCCTCCGACAACAGAGTTTTTTCACTGCGATTTTCAGGTGAGTACCACTTGGCTTGGTAAGCATCCACTTCTTGGGAAAGCTTGAGTTGCCTTTGTATCCCCGCTACTATTTGCCTTTGGGGTGCTTTGTGCAGGTCGCTAGTCTCAACATCTTCACAGGAAAGCCAGGCCGAGCCCTGTAAGGGTCAAGCTTGATACTTATATAATACCTATAGAGAATGTGGACAGTGATCAAACAGGTTTTTGATGTTCATTTGGGGCTTTTGTTCCCGCAGGGGGAAGACGATGATAGTGAAGACGACAGCAGGTGCCTCCCTGATTTGTCAAGAGTTTTTCGGTAACTTTGGTAGCCACCAAGGTGCAAAGTTGTTGCCTTTGGGCAAACGATACAAAAAACAAGTAGCTAATTGGGTACGGCGCTGCAAGGTGCCTGGTGTTTTTATGGTGGTTGAAAACATTTGCCTAGTGGCCCTGCGATGTCATGTCCAAAGCGGCATTTCCCGAAGCTCCAAAACTACTTCTTCTCCTCTCTTAACACTCAAAAAGTTCCACTAGAGCAAAATCGACTTCTCGAAACTGATCAATCAAACACCTAGGAACAATGTTCGCTACTAGGGGCTCCTGGCATCGCTACTAGGAGCAAGGACGCTACTAGGAGCAAAGGGCATCGCTACTAGGAGCAAAGGACGCTCTTGTTTTGAGGCAAACAAGAGTCTTTCAGAGGATCGCCTCAAAACGACTTGGACAAGTCAACAAGTGACGTACCACACATCCACCTAAAACCACCTTAGCAGCGGCTCTGGCCACTCAAACCACACAGCTTCCCGAGACAACCGAATTAGCAAAATCAAAACCAGCGACCACACTTCTACAAAGCTTGGGTGATGCATCGTGAATCTGGAGTGAAACAATGCTGCGGAGAACTGTTAAGTTTCCCTACAACTCTAGGAACCAAATCATGCGGCGGGGCAGCTTCCTTCAAGAAGCGCGAGATATATGCTGCGTCCATACTAGTAGCTACCTAGCTACTACTAGCTACCTACTTCTCCCTAGCTGCCTACCCCCCCGGGCTTAACAAAGAACATACCTGAAATCGTCTCGAGAGGGCTCGAAATCGAAACGACGATATTACCCCTCCGCGACACGAGTCTCTGTCCAGCTTAGCGCATGAGTTGAGAATGTGCAGGTCACTCGACCTTTGCCATGATGCAATGTTTTCTAGGATGCTGAACGAAGTTTCAAGCTGAATTCTCTGACTTTTTAATAAATTCCTTTTACTTGACCGTTCAACTTTACAACTTCTTGTCTTGTTCAGCGCACTTCCGTGCTGTCTTGGTGCTGCTTATCGCCACGACACAAACTGCGAGAGATCTGTCTATCTAATCTATCTATATATCTATCCATCTACCTATCTATCAAGGACTTACAAAGGCAAACGACTTTTGATTGGCTGATGGACATTCTGAAAAACTTAGGTTAGACCTGGTTGCTGCCGCTGGACGCATACGGGTGCTTCACAAGTTGGATCTGAGACACTTAAGAAGTCCTTGATCTCAAGAAATTCTTTGGAAAGAAAGGAATGGGCTATTCTTGCTCATGGCAGGTCCTAATCAGCTCTCTTACATTTCGCTCAGATCTTGGATCTCTTGTTAGGTCAAGAATTTGCAGAATGTAGCGATATGAGGTGCTGACATCGCAGAGAGACTGTTCAGAAGCAGTTGGGTTGTGTTCCGAGGCGTCTCTACACCTGAACGATTTGGCAAACAGACAACCATCAGAAAAGCCTGCACCTGAGTCACCTGAGTCACCTGAGTCACCTGAGCATCAGGTTGCTTTCTGCACTCCGTTCGACAAAGGGCTTGTTTAGAGACTCCCTTAGCTCCCCAAGGCTCTGAGGGATGGCATTGCAACTGCCCTGGTGGTGAGCCCATCCCAGGCGCATCAGCACAACTGTTTCTTTCCTGGTGCTCCAAGATCCTTTTCAAGGTGCACTTTTGTGTGTATACATGCTGAGATGCGCAGGTTGTCATTCTGGATCTCATCGTGCCAATGGCAGAAGGTTTGGGTTATTGCCATTCCCCTTAAACAAATTCTGGCCTGGGTTGCAATCTTTAGGGTGTTTTGTGAAGGATGCTTTGGGAATCATTTCCGGGCAGGCAAAGAATCTTCTGCAACGCAGGCAGTGAGAGATGTGATTGGATGAAGACAAGTGACTTCTCCGTCGATCAATGTGCAATTGCAACATGTTTTAGGCGGACTGAAACGTTTTGATCTAGTGAATCTAGCGTATTGCAATGCAATGGTCCAGCAAGAGATTGCTGGTCCACCTGCATACCCAAATGCCTCCAGACCCCAGAAAGCTCATCACAAGCAGGAAAGAATCCTAGGTCCTGCGGTGTCACCCGGCTCAGAGAGGATAGAGGCTGCGTGTACCGAGTACTGTGCTGCCATGTCCTCATGCAAGACCCAGGTTCAAATGCCACACGTGCGCACACACACACACACGACCAAGAGCGGTTGCCCCGAAGAAGTAGCCTCGGTAAACAAAGTGGCCTACAAGTACAGGTAAAATGCAGCGGTGTATGACCATGGAATCTCAAAAAGGTCCGGAAGTTCCAACAAACTCAATATCCCAAAGTCAAAAGCTCAAATTTCCAAGTCCCAAAGGCTGAAGTTCAACACGACGGAGTGTCACGTGCGTTAGCCCTTTACTGCGCATTTGCCGACCTCCGATATCAAACTAGCCTGCAATCTAAGGTATGAACGCCACACCAAAGCAGGCAAGTCCAGAAGGCGTCCCCTCCGGATACCACCGCAATACAATGGAGTGTTTTCGTTGAGTGGTGACTCCAAGACTGCACTTCACTCCTCTGCAGTTTCAAAGGAATTAGGAAGTAACGAGAGCCCGCACAAGCCATTGAATCCTGGCTGGTCACACTTGAGAAAGAGCTCCAAGGAGCGAGATTCAGGTTGGTTCTCGGTGAGCATTAGCACTTTGCGTTGCTGCGTTAGACGAGTGGACTAGCCCTGTAATACAACGTATGAGACAGTGGGAAGCCTGACTCGTACTTAGAATCACAAGATCAAAAGCAGATCAACATTCGATGCAGGTACGTCCGGAAGGGGTCCTTTGTGGGTATCATGGCCAGACTATCATTGTCTTTGTTGGGTAGTGAGTGATAGTGGTCCACTGCCCCCTGCTGATGCATTGAATTAAAACGAAATCGTCGGAATAGATCACACGCGCGCACACACACAAGTGGAAAGTATTCTGAAAGACTGCGATTTTTCGCTGCTGGAAGCAATCTAATCTAGGTAAGCAAGTGGCCTGGACAAAAACAAGTAATATATGCTGGTACGGCCCCATGGTAAAGGAGAAGCTGAAGCCCCTTCAGAAGGCCTTTGTCCCACAACCCTGGCTCAAATGTTGACCTGGTCTTGCGAAGAAAATGGTAGGACGAAAAGGGGAGGAACCTTTATATATATATATATATAATATATAATACATAATATATATGTATATACATTTATACGCACCCTATCTTGATACTCAAAAGGGCTGAAGTCATGCATGGAAAATGGTTCGCACTCCTTCTTGGCGATGTGACACTCTAAAATGCTTCTTTGAGCTTACTTTGCCACCATAGTCCATTTTCTTCCATTTTATTCTTCTCTTTCTTGCTGTGAACTGTCTGTTCTCTCAGGAACTGTGTTCCTAGAGGATGATGATATCTCTGTTTGTTGTCTGTCTGGAAAGTTTCTCTTCATAACTGCACATTCTAGCAATTCCTTATGCTCCTCCATCTCTTTCTCTACTATATCTGCCTCTTCGTTTTGTCCACTACTCAGGAGCTTCCAGTATTTCTCATGGAGTTGCCCAAGCTTTGCTTCAAATCGACCACACAATTGACTTGCCTGCCCTACGATGTATTGGTCTCTCATCGATCTCTCTCTGTTCCCTATTTTGAAAATTTTGTTCAACGGTCCTTCTGATGGTGTTGCTCCATCTGTAGCTGCCTTCAACATCACTTTATGTCTTCAATACTGTTCTGGTGATGCTTGCATATCTTCCAAGCTCCTTCTTGCTAAGAAGTTCCCTGCGTTCAACTCTTGTAGCACATCATAGGCGCTGATTGTTGTAGTATCTGGTGTATCGGGGTCAGTAAAGCCTCCCATGAGAATCAATCCACAATGAATTCTCCTGGCATAGTTGCGCAATCTTTCAATTTTCTCCCCATTGTTCTCAACTTCACTGGCACCTCTTTCAAGATCTTCAATTCTACTTTCTAACTCCTTGGTCCTGTATTCTTCACCATCTGCTCTCCAATCAATATGCTGCCAATTGTCATAGTAGCGTCTTTCTGTATGACCCCATTTCAAGACGTATGACAAGTGTAGACCATAAAGATCACTACCGCAAAGAACATGTTGATTGCAATCATCACTACTATCCAAACATTCCAGTTGTTATTGGATTCTTTCATCTCTTCCAGTCTCATGTCTTCTAATCCACACTGGATGTTGTCTCCTTCTTGGAAGAATGCTTCTGTAACCATTTGCTGCAAGCCCTCCAATGTTACCATTCTCACAAGCATCCTTGCAATCTTGTTGACCTTTCCTGCAAAGTTTTTCGTTTCTTCAAATTCCCTTCTCTCATATTCTCCTACTCGCAATTGGTCTTCACTGTGCCAGTAACCAATTAGGTGCATCAAGTATCTTATTCTTTGTCCTCCAAGTGGCTTTGTGTTGAGGTCTGCCATGTTGCTGTCTGTTGGTACTTGTACCATCTTGAAGTCTTTCCTGTTCTGAATCCACAGCAACTTTCCATCTACATGCCGCACTTTTCCAACTCCTCTCTTTGTCACAAGTTGGCGCGCGCTCGATGAATCTGTGAAGGTCCCAAGAGCAAATTCCAGAAGTGCTCTGATATAGATTCCATCTGATGCTGGAAACTATTGCATGTAGTTCAGCTTCACATGAAGATAAGCTAGTGATATTCTGTGTTCTGCAGCTGTTGAACGATGGACAACTATTCAATGCATGGAATCCTCCTGATGTTGACTTTCTGTGGCCTTTGTTCCCACTCCAGTCTGAGTGTGAGAATGTCTCCAAGCACCAATAGCTTTCTCCTTTCTTGACATAACCTTCTCCTTCTTGTGCAAATTCAAGCACTAGACAAGAGTCCATAGTCTTCTTCAAGTATCCTAGGAATTTCTTCAAGCGATGAAATGACATAGCTGTAGGATTTAACATTCTTGAAGCCAATTCCTTCACTGTGAATGCTACATACCTCTCTTGACATAGGTAAATACCGGATCCAACAATGCTTCTGAAAACGCTAATCTCCTCTGGCTCATGCAAGACTTCTGACTTGTCTTCCATCTGGATTGAGTTGTCTGCTGGTAGTTGTTGAAGTTTGGCAGGTCCAATCTGCTCTTATAGGCTTTCAACATCTGCTGGGTGTAGTTGCCTGGTTGGATCCATAATCCATCAACTTCAAGTTTGTACTTTCTCCTCAGAACATTGAATTCATCTCCGGTGTCGAATTTGTCTTGAATCTTTGGAAGAACAAATTCATTGATGTACTTTGAGTCTCCTGTGAAAATGAAGTCATCCACAAGGATCAAAATGATACTCTTCTCATTTCTTCCTAGGCATGGACACTCAGCACTAAATTGGTAGTTGAATTCCTCTGTGAGATACTCTGTGAAAAAGTCAAACCATGCTTTTGCTCCAACTCATTGTCCAGGTAGATTCCTCTTGACTAGGAATCTTCTCCTCTCAAGATCACTTTTAATGGTTTCTCTTGTGGAACTTATAGAAATGCGTCCTTCACATCAAGGCATCCTAACATCTGTGAGAATCCTCCTCCTCCTCCTCCTCCTCCTCCCTCTCTTGCCTCATCTTCTTTGGTAGTTGTCTGCAAGCATTTTGTGGGTAGAAGCTTCAGTACCTGTCCTGAAGTCGCTGGTGAGAAAATGTCATCTCTCTTTCCTTCAGCGAAAGCAAATTCTCTTGCAACTAGTCTTGATCTTCTCTTCCACCTCTTGGCTGAAATACCATCTCCAAGCTGATATGGTTTCTTCCTCCAGTCATGTTGTCAAGTAACTGATTCCTTTTGTGCTTGCCTCTGGTTTCTCTAGCGCTTGCATCTTCTAGAGTCTTTTCTCCTCCACTTCATCAGCTACTCCGTCAATCCATTCTTCTGGATCTCCTTCAGGTTCATGTTCTCCATCACCCCACAAGCATTCAGGTCCATTGATTTCTTCCAAGTCTGAACCATCATCTTCTCCATCTTCCCACTCTTCTTCACCAACTTCTTCTGCAACTGGGGATAATTCTACATCTTTTTACATGGTAAAGATCTCCTCCTACAACTTTCACCATATTGCTCTTGGCCTTCTTGCTTGAGTCATCTGATGGCCTGAGTTTCTTCATTGGAATTTAGCTCCTCAAGCAATTCTGCCTCCAAAATTGGTTTAATGCTTCCATGAAAACGCATTGAAGCTTTTGTGAAGGGTTAAGTATTTGGACCAATCTTGATCTGTTCGTCTGATGCATTTGCTAAGCACTACCTGCACTCCATTTGTGAGTACATAGGTGTCTTGCCTTTCAACCTGTCCCAAAAACAAGCATAAATGCAATCTCGCTTCTCCTTTGTTGAGACTTGTTGAGGTTCTTGATGTAAACATGCACTGGTTCACCATACTCTGCTAGACGCCTTTTGTAACTTTGACCATAGACAAGCTCACAAAAAGTTGCCCCTTTGGCTGGCTGAAATCTGTTAAGCGCCCAACTGGCATGTCTTGCTGCCCAAGTCCAAAGTGCATGATCTGATCCAATCTTGATACCAAGTCTTGACTGCACACCTTCAATGAAAGTTCTTGCAAGCTTTCTCACCCTGTCAACTGTGTTCTCTGACAGAAATGAATGATCTCCAAGCTTTGAGTTAACCAATCTGGTAGTGAGTCCTAGACTGTGGTGAGCATTGACCAGCATCTTGAGGATTTGGCTTGTTGTGGGCTCATTGTCACTCCTGTAGGTGATTGCTCAATACCCCAACAATTGACTGAATTCACCAATTCTTGCACAATTAGACGAAGCTGGCCTTTGCTCCCTAATGGCGCAACTTGAACGGCTGTCAATTGCAACTAGCCAACATACTGCTCTTGCTGACTT